TGAAAATGCTTTGAAGGTACAAAAGCTTTAGTGATCTTACCATCTAATCAAATGAACACAAAGTGAAGCATAAGAACAGACTGCAAAGTCTCCTAGAACTTGGATGATCCTCTGTCCTGACTGGATGGACAGACAACCTTGGCTTATACCCATCTTCCTGGCATCTCAAAAATATCCCAACTTGAACAACCTACTCATGGCCATTCTGTAACTCACAGAAATAGGGAACTATTGGGAAAAAAAATAAAAGTAGAATTACAGTTTAAATATGTTATTCATATATAAAAGTTAATACTTAGAGACTGACAATTAACTAAGTAAAATCAGGAGGTGAGAGAAAATGCAAGGCCATGTAACTATTCATTTTTAGCAGAATCATTAGATACTGTCTAAAATTATTAAGTCAGGAAGTAGAAGTATTCCAAAATTATTTAGAATTACAGTGGTAACCATCAGAGGAATTAAACAGGAAGTTAAAAACCATTACTTCTGGGGAGTACGATTTAGGAGAGGGGAGACTTAGAGAATACTTTTTAACTGGAACTTTTCCATAGTCCTTGCATTTTTCTCACATATGTAGTAGCTACGACATTTATAATAAACACATATTTAGGTAAAACATAGAAGAACGTGACATAAACTCCCTTTCACTCTGTTGCCTTTGCTCTCGAAACCTAAAGAGTAAAAGAAAAAAATCAACATGGTAGGAGCATTCACACACTCTCTCCACCAATATTCACCAAGTGCCTACTGGGTGGTACACACCGAGTGAGGTGTGGGGCAACAGCAGTGATATTAAGACAGACACTCACCAGGAGCTTACATTCTGGAGCCACATACCACCATGGGTCCTCCCTACCTCTTCTAAACAAGTGCACCTCATGGGGCTCACAAGAATGGGAACAGATGGTGAACACTGCAAATGCAAACAGAAAAAGGCCAATCTAGAAAGATTTTATCATTTGATAAACAAGCTATAACTTGGCAGTAAAACTAGAAAACAAAAAAACAAAAACAAAAATTTTTTTTTAAGTGGGGAGTGGGGAGGGAACAGTGGGAGAAGGAAAAAGAAAATCTCAAGCAGGTTCCACACTCAGCAAGGAGTCGGACTCAGGGCTCAATCCCATCACCCTGAGATCATGACCTGAGTGGAAACCAAGAGTTGGATGCTTAACCGACTGAGCCACCCAGGGGCCCCTAATGCTTTACAAATGCTATCATATGTCCTCACCACATTTTGGCAAAATTTAAAAAACAACCTTTGTAGAAATAAAGCCAAGTGAAAAACACTGATAACTGATGGCCTACAATATTTAAGAAATATTCCCAATTTTCAAAAATAGCTAAGAAATTATAGACTCATAATTGCATCAAGATAATCCAATAAGGTCTTTCACTAAATTTGACACTGCCAAATTCATGGCTCTTTACAAGCTTTACAACTGGGCAACATCCAAAAGCAGGAGAAGACAGCATTAGCCATGCAGAACATCTTCCAACTGCCATTCTTAAGCAGCCATTCTCTTTGATGTGCACTGTGCAGGCTATCCCCAATCTGGCCTCCTATTAACAAGGAGAAGATAGTAAGAGAGACCTTAGCAATTCAAAACTACTTTACTGTCATACTCAGGCCAGTTTAAGATCTTAATGGCAGTTCATTAAGATTCTACAATTGAATTTGAAAAATTCCATAGCTCATCCCTGGGAACAAATGAAATGAAAACAGAACTCTTTTGGTGGTAGTTTTGCTATACTATGCTAAGCCCTTCAGAAAGAGTAAATTTTAATTCAATATCACAGCTATGAAAACACACCACTGTTTAACTGGCAGTCAAGCAGAAAAGCAGAACACCCATAATAGGTATTTTGTGATGGTTGCATCCCTCAGTGGCTCACTAACATCTTGCAGACAAGCATGGGACTTGTGTCTTGTACACAGAATACACAATTGACCTTTCCTCAGGAATATACAATGTATATTTTCATTTAATCTTACTGAAAGCAACAAAAAAGATCAATAGAATAGTAGTGAGAATACAGTATTGCCACAAAACCTGTGTGGGTGGTGGATAAACAGGGGGTGAAGAAGATAAGCTCCTAATACATTTTAATCTGCAGTTAGGATAATGAGAATGAGTCCATGGGAAGTATGCTGCAAATGCTGAGCATCTTCTAATGGCTGCCACGTCCTCAAAACAGCATCACCTGTCCCCTTTAAAGCACTAACTGGTCAGCTCTTAAATACATGGGGCTTGGGCGATACTGATGATAGGTCGGTATGTGTGTTCTGTTGATTCAGGAGTCTGACATGGGAAGATGGACTACACTATGGTGTCAAGAAAGGATAACAAGTAGATGGGAAAATTCTACATTAAAGGAAGGGTGGCAGGGTGGACTAACATGTGCTCCAGCCTAGAAGGATGAGGACAGGTATAAATGATGCCAGATATAATGGAAGATTCTGAACATCTAAAATTGATACAGAATCGGCCTTCCTACTGTAACTGACAGAGAAACTAGGCCTAGTTTTTGGCTTCAAGGATTATATACTATTAAAACTCACAGAACCCTGAGTACTCGTCTTCCCTAAGCTTTCCTGGAGCCAACTATCACTGAAAATAACACAGTTCCCCATAGGATAAATAACACTTAACATGGTACAAAACTCTTTCAAATCTTTAATTAAAAGACCAGGGGTGCCTGGGTGGCTCAGTCGGTTAAGCGGCTGACTTCGGCTCAGGTCATGATCCCAAGGTCCTGGGATCGAGCCCCGCATCGGGCTCCCCGCTCAGCGGGAAGCCTGCTTCTCCCTCTCCCACTCCCCCTACTTGTGTTCTCTCTCTCCTCTCTCTCTCTCTGTCAGATAAATAAATAAAATCTTTTAAAAAAAAAAGACCAAAGATCTAGTCCTAAAGGTCTTTGGCTCTGAAATTCTGGCAGAGTCATTTAATCTGTCTGGCTCTCTGCTTCCTTGGTAAATAATGGCTGACAATTTTGATGAATATGCTAATTAATATTTCGTAATCACCATCTCCAATGGTCCTAAATGTTTTATAAGCATAAAACACTGAACATCACTGAACCCTCACTATGAGATATACTATTATTACCCCTTTTTATAGCAGATGAAACTAACGCATGGAGAGGCTAAGCACCTTGCCCCCCATCCAAAAGCTAAGACATCAACTGGCCTGCCATATCCAGGCCAGCCCTAGGATGCAATGACTTGTGCAAACTAAGTGTGAAGAGTGAAGGTCAAAGTCTTCCTATACCTCCTGTCAATGAAACAGGTGATCAACAATCAAGGAGAAAACAGATGTTTGTTTATAAATAAAACCCTTTTCAAAATCCTTTTAGGATTACTGGCTCAAGACTTGGCCTAGTTTCACAAAAACAATAACGCAACACCTCTTCACAAAAAGGAGGGTTCCCCTGAAACCAGTATCAAGTGCTGTAATGTTTTCCTCTGCCAATTATAGATTCTCTTCCAGGGAAGTACATCCTGACTTAAAATCTGCTGTGACATTAAGATCACCTCTAGGCAGGAGATGCTAGGACATTAAATTTTATTTGAATATATTTTAAATGTTTTGTGAATCACAGAAAGGAGCTATTGTTTGGTTTCAGCATCAAGTATGAGGCAGTACTCCTTAAGTACCAGCGTATATCAGGGTAATGTGTAAAAGAGGAACAACTTATGATTAATTTGCTGTGTTGGAACTACACAGCTTACGAGAAATTTAGAAACCAGCTAGGATAAATGCCCTTTGAGAGGTTCCTGAGGAAAGGAACCCTTACCTTTATGCATCTTTGCATCCTGTACTACCGTGCACTGCATGAAACCTGTATCTAAGCATTTCCTGGAAATGTTTTCACAATGGTAAAGTGTTATAATCAAAAGAATGAAGGTGGCAAAACAAGCAGATTCCAAACTGAATTTAGTACAGAAATAAAACTCTAATAATGTAACAATTAAGTACTGGTCCTTCTCAAAAATAAAAATATGCTCTTGCTGTCAGCAGATCTTTCACTTTCAAAAAGAAAAACAACAACAACAAACCACCAGGAAATTTCAGCCTCTCTAATCCTAAACAGCTGAATCATTCACATGTTCAAGCTCTGATTTTTGGGAGGTCCGAACTTAAGACCTTCCCTAGGAGAACATGGAAGAATTACAGAAAATTAACGGGATTTCCCAAAGACGCCGACTTAGACAGGAACTGCGTTATCCTTAATCAAACAGGAGGCACTGGCAAACCCATCAATCACTGGTGAAGTAAAAAGACTATGCTGAGAAAACGTATTCGTTCTCCAACGAACATTTATTAAACGTCTACTTGGCGCAAGGCAACCGGGCACACGATCTCTGGAATGGGGGCGCCGCGCCAGTCTGCTCCTCCGGGGGACCCACCTGCCCAGCCAGATGCGCCCAGACGCATCGGCCAGGCGCCGGGGCGGGGGGGGGGGGGGCCCCCGGACCCGCCCCTCCGACTCCTCCTGGGCTCGCCTCCCACCAACACGGGTCTCCGAGAGACGCGGCTTCAACCGTGGCGAAATGAACAAATCTATCCCGCCGTGACGGCGACTGCACCCCTCCAGGCGAGGCCGTGGGACGCCCCCCCCGAACCAACACGGGGATAACGCCGGGGCGGAGGGGGCGTGGGGGCTCGGGGGACTTCAGGGGATGTCTGGAGGGTGTGTGGGGGCTGAGGAACCCCGAGGGATCCTAGAGGTTCCAGGGGACGTACGGGGGAGAGGTCTGGGGGTCCGAGGGGATCTCTGGGGGGCGCGCGGGGTTGCTGAGAGCCCCTGGGGCGTTCTTGGTAGGGTCTCTGGGAGGCTCTAAGGCTTAGGAGCTCTCTGGAAGATGCAGGGGAAATGAGGGCCCACGGGCGTCTCAGGGGAGAGAGGGGATTCAACTGGACGCGCGTGGGGGCGGCTGGCTGGGGAGGGGCCCGCGACGGAGACCCCACTCAGGGCACTCGCGGTCTGGAGCTCACCCAAAGAGCCCTCGGAGGAAGGAGTGGGAGGCCTTGACTCGCTTCTCAGCCTCCGCCATCAGCTGCACCGCCTCACGCTCCTTCCCCGCGTTGTCCATGTCGCCCGCTGCCACAACCTCCTCACCCGGCTCCGACGCGCCTTCCGCGCCTTCTCCCTTCTCTCCCAGAGATGGGGAGCGCAGGCGTGGTGCGCAAGGCCTGTCGGGACTTGTAGTGCCGGGTCGGGCCCTGGAGGCGGAGATGGGCGAGGCGTCAACTACAATTCCCAGAAGGCCGCAGAGCCAGGCGGGGTGGGGATCGGAGCTTGCAGAGTGCCGGCGCCCGGGATTTCGGGGCGAGGGGCGTGGCTCTCCGTAGGGGTCTTAGACCAAGGTGAACTTTAATCGTTTAGTATGCGGGGAAATGGGAGATGACGCGTGGCTTTCTAGTAAGGGTAACCTCAAGCACGCCGCATCACGTTGGTTCAGGAATCTCTTGCTCACCACGACAGACACCTGGCAATGGGACGGATGAGGAAACGGGGGATAACAGATTGGAACGTTCAACCTACGCGCAAGTTCTGCAAAAGGGAAGCTAACGCAGCCACCGAAAGCAATTTCATTAACCATGTGATGCCCATCCACCCACCCACCCACCAGCAACAGCTGGAAGAAAGAGCCATTTTTATCTCCAGAGCAAGGCGTTTAAGAATGCATCATTTTCCCCAATATAAATTCAGTTATTTTTCAGTCTCTCCGTATTACAACTTAATGTCGGTCCACTCTTTCATGGATGGGAAGCTTTGAGCTGTCTTATCCTTTACATGGTGCTGACCGTAGGGGGTGAGTCTTCTGGGGCACAGGCCTGCCTGGAGGACTTCTAATTCCCTAGCAGAAGAATCCATAGATATATGCTATCATGTGCCAACAATTTCCAGGCCTGTCCTGGAGGGGGTGGCTTTTTTGTTTGTTTTGTTTGTTTTGTTTTTGTTTTATACAAAATCTAGACCATTTGCATTTGGCAATGCTTAAGCAGAGGTGGTGAAGCACATATGAAAATCACTGCCAAATGAAAATGTGTGACAACGTCAAACTATTAATAAATACACTGTGGGCACTGGCACATGAAATATGTCTAAGAAAATGAAGCCTGTTTTTAGAGAGCAAGGCAATGAAGGCCAAACTCCTAGAAAGGTAACTAAAGCATATGTCGCAGAGTTCATACACTGAAGGACCTCTAGAGATGGAAGTATCAGATCTTCAGGCAGAATTTATTTACTATTACTACATGCAATACTCTAACTTTGAAAACCTAATTTGTGTTCTTTTGAAGCAGTATTGGAGAATAAGGAGGCAGGGAATTAGAGGTGTCAGTAAATGTAGGATTAAAGAGGAAAAACTGCAAAATTGGACATAAGCATTTGAAAAGCAGAGCAGTCCATGGGGATTTCATGGAGTGGAGCCAACTCAAAAGCTCCTAAGTGCAGCATCATTATATTGATTAAAGCAGCTCCCAAAGCTGGCCCAAAGTAACGGATGTTCAAGAAATACTGATCCCTAAGCCGCTAGCTGTTTATATCAGGATCTCCTGAGGTTGGAGTCTAGGAAGTGTACATTTTAATAAGAACTCTCCGCACTATTGTAAAGCATACGATTCTAGATTCTCAAATCTGTGGTCAGCTCAAAAGGAGGTAGAATAGACTTCTCTAAGCCAGAACATGCAGCTAGGGGTGGCAGGGTACATCTTGACATTTTTAATGTTTCTGGGTATTTCCTTCATTCTCTTCTTTCTGACAGGCACTCCCATCCTTCCCCAGTCCACACCCAAGCAGGGAAAAAACTTTAAACCGTAATTGTTGTGTAGAGCACTTGTTTTCTTATTCCAGAGGCTAGATAAGGGGAGGTGGCAGGGCAGAGAGAAAAACCTCAAAGAATGAGGAAGACTGAGAGACAGATGAGGACTCCTCCAAGCAGGAGGGAAAAGGAGACCTGCTCTGCTGTGGGCCAGGGAGAGAGTGAAGCCCTCAAGTAGAAGCTGTCCTAGAGTAGGTCCAAAGGACCCATGACATACACCTGAGCTGACCAGGATGGTGGCCACTCACTGAAAGAGGTCATTTAAATTTAAATCAAATAATAGGAAATCAAATGCAAAATTTTGTTCCTCAGTCACACTAGCCACATTTTAACTGCTCAATTGCCGCATGTACCTAGTGGCTGTCATATTAGAATGCACAAATACAGAACATTTCTATTTATGGCATGAAGTTGACAATGCTGGCCTAGACATATCTTGCCTTTCAGCTGCTCTGGACACTTGGAAGAAAAGACTTCAGACAGTTTCTGAGAAGATGGAGCAAGAAAGGAGGAACCTGCACCCTTTACCAGGCAGAACCAAGCAGAACCTGCAGGCCTTTCCCTATGATCAGGGCAGACTCACAGGCATTCAGACTGAATGAACACACAGGAAGTTAAATTGTAATGTCGAGTGTCCAACTGTTCACCCTGAGAGGTGCTCTGCAAAGGCAAGGCTGAAGCCATTTGAGAATAGCCTGCTGTAAGAGAGGCAGGATCAGAAAATGATCTGTGTGAAAAACAAGGTGTGGCCCTTTGCATGTGTTCACAGAAGGGGGTGCAGCATGGGAAGAATCCTGTGTGGAGACCAGCACCAAGGGAAGGTGCAGTGGGCACAAATGCATTGCACCTCCAGGATTGTCCGGACTGGGATCTGGAGTGGCAGTGCAGGGGCCCAGTGCACTGGGTGAGTATCTCCCATGCCACTGAGTGCAGTTGGCTCCCACTACCCCTGCCTGCCATGAAGCTGAGCAGCAACTACCAGGTCCTGCATTCACTTAGTGTCACCCACCCCCCTCCCTCTGATTCCAAACTCTGTAGGAAACTTGTGGCCATGACTAGCACTGGGTGTTCCCGTGCCTGGGGGTCCCAACTGCCAGCACCTGCAATTCTCTTGAGGGTTCTCTTTGGCCTTCCAGCCTGCTCTGCTGGAATGCTAAAGAAGTGGGGAGGGCTAATTAACTACATTGACAAGGAAATCAATGCCTCTTGGCCTCCTAGGAGCAGCCCTCAATCAATGAATGTTGGAAAATTGGAAGATAAGTACCCTTCTGGTGGGACAACTCTGAGCAATGTTTTACACTCTCTCCTAGGGGTCCCCAGTGGCAGTGAGCTCCAAACTGCTCACAGTAGAACATTCCTGTTCTGTACTCTTCACTGACTTTCTTCCCTTGCCTTTCCCCACACTCCTACTGGTGCTGCCTTCTGGTGTTACCGCCCAGGAAATTGCTTTCACTAGAATCCTTGTCTCAAGGTCTGCTTCTGGGAGAACACAAACTAAGACAAGGAGCATATGCACTGAGGACCGATAGGTGTGTTCTGGTACCCAGACAGTCATGGTGTTCATTACAAATTCATAAATCGGTATTGTCATCTGTGGATAACTGTATACTTGGGGTTCCGGTTGTCACTTCAAATTTAGGGGTGTAAAGCTATAGTAGTTGTTTATTATTGGTATCATTTGTGGTTCTGGGGCCCTACTGGGCTCAGATGGGTGGTTCTCACTTGGGGGTCTCTCAGTCAGGTGGTAGCTGGAGCTGGGGTCGTCTTCAGGGCTTTCTACTCATGCCTGCTGCCTGAGATGGGAAAACTCGAAAGGCCAGAACAGCCGAGGCCCTAGTATCTCTCTCTGAATGTTTACATGGTGGCCAGGGCTCCAAAGGTGCTAGGGGGATGGGAGCCAGGCAGCTGCTGAATCACCTTTACAACTTAAGGTCTCAAGTTCTGAGGCATCATTTCTGTATCCCTGAAGCAAATTGCTCAGGCTCACCTGTATTCAAGGGGAGGGTCTCAAAGGATTTGCAGAGGTGTTAAACCCACCAGAGTTATATTCAAGGGAGCCTGGTTGCACTGACAAAACTGTGAAGCTGGAGCCCCCAGCCTGGGGAGCAGCCCCTCACCTCCAAGGGCCTTGGAACCCCGGGAGGGTCTGCCCCATCTTCGGCTGCCTTCTCCACTGATATCTCAGACTCAGTAACCTAAGAGTGGCTCAGAGGTGTTGGGAGGGACAAGGCCAGGGCTGCTCCAGTGTGGTCCCCTTTTGAAGACAGGGAAGAAAAGAATTCATTCCAGAAGGCTCTTCATCCAAAAGCATCAAAATAATGAATTAATGAAAATAAACGTTCTCTATCCATGTTGATGAGGTTGGGCTTCTGCACTTTGTGTAGCTTTGAGGCTAGAATTTAATTACTCTATTTATGGTGATTTTTTTCATTTTCCTCATGGACTTGCAAAACCCGAGAGCAATTGAATGGGGAACTTCAGAGGGATAATTAAATAAGTGGTTTTTATTATATATTTTTTTAACTTTCAAATCAATAGTAGTTTGTGTATGTGTGTGTGTGTTTGAGACATTTCATGCTGTGTCGAAATTGCTACAACTGTTCCTGAAGACAGCTTTGTTAATATTATTTACCATTTTCTTAAGAAATTGTTCTGTGAAATTTAGACCAAAACATTAGAAAAAGCAAAATTAAATGTACAAAATATCTGTTAAAAGAAACATAGAAAATGGTAAATTAAGTTCAAGAAAATACTTGTGAAAAAGTAATATTATGTCATTAATTGTTATTCTTTTCATTAACTGATATGAAATTCCACCACACAGTTTGAAATTAACTGGATGCCTTTAAAAATGGCAAATAGACATAAAAACCAAGATGACCCTATGTTTATTTATATAATGATATATTCTAAGACTTTTCTTCTCAATAGTTAATATAGTTCTAGCCAGAATTATGGTTCTAAGCTGCAGGCACAATGGCTTACAGAGAAAAATGGGTTTATTTCCTGGACTGTTTCGATTTCCTTTCACATTATTATTTTAATGTAATTGATCTAAATTTCTTTAATTAACAGAAATTTTAGGAAAAATTCACCCATTTCTACTCATTTTTTATCTGTATGTTTCTAAGGATACATAAGCATTTTCTAGATTGCTACTAGTCTTTGCAATTAAGTGTTAATGGATAATAGTTCATTGCACCAAATCTTATATAACTCTTTCCAAATGTGGCATGTTTGAGTTTCATCCTATTTGCCTATTACCAAAATAGTCAGGTCTGTCCCAAAATAAAGGAAGGGTTTCCTATCAGTGGTCACACTGTAACAGGCTTACTTA